CCAGCTGCGGTGTCTCTCTCTCTCTCTCTCTTAGAAGGTATATTGGGTCATCTGGGAAGTCGTGACGCATGTTGCATAGAAAAAATAGAAAAGCACATCATGACTTTCTTGACAGATAGATATTAGTAGGGGACCAGCAGGTGGCGTAATGGTTACGTTGCTGGACTCCCATGTGGTCGACCACAGCTTGAGTCTTGAACCTAGACGCTTAAAGCTCTCGCCAGGCATGTGTGCATGTGTGCCCAAAATCTCGAGAGAAGAATGGAGGAGAAGGGATGGCAGCATGGGGGGTGATTTCTCACTTTCCGTCTCTCTATCTCTCCCGTGAGTGTGCACGCCCTATAGCAAAAATCTCTCTTTAAAAAAGATAGATAGGTAATAGATAAACTAAAAAATAATAATAATGAGCATACGTCGATACCCACCACCCCCTAGGGCACCAGGCAGCTTTCTCCTAGCCCTGCCACCCTGGGAGATAGATGCTAGGATTATTCCTATTTTACAACTGATGAAACTGAGGCCCAGGAAGGTGAGGGCATTTGTCCCAGGTCTAGCTAGTTCCAGAGCCCACACAATACCCACAATGCTGTGTGCTCCAGAGAACTGGTACGGTGCCGGCTCCTTGGGGAGGTAAGGAGGTACGCTATCCCAGCTGCTCCCGGCCCATCTTTGGGGGAGTGGCCTCTGGGGTCCCTGGAGGTGTTTGAGTATGGATCCCAGCATGGTGGGACATGCGCAAATATTTGAGCGTTCCGCAGTGAGGCTGCAGCCTGCCATCTGCCCCAGCGTGACTTGGGGACAGGATAAGAAAATGATCTCGTGTCCTATTACCTCCCGCGAGGTTTATTGTGGTTCTTCAAGTGGTGACAACGTGCATTAATGCAGTGACTCTTTTGCTAATAGGAGAATTTCTGGCATGGAGGGGGGTGTGGTTAAGGTAATAGCTTCCCTTCCAGGGACAAGATGTGAAGCCTGTTCTCCTGCAGGGAATGTTTACTTAGGTGGAAAGGGGGTTCTCAGTCCTCCTCTAATTTGGGAGAAGCTGGAAGCCGAACTCCTGTGCTGTCATGGAGACAAAGCAGCTGCTTGGGGTCCTGGGTGGAGGGCCAGAACAAGGGCATGGCCTGCCCCTAAGACCCTCCCTCCCCAGCTGGGTGGCTCCAGGTGGTACCTGAGGTCACACAGCAGGTCAGGGCCTACCTGAGGATCCCAACTCCCAGATCCAGTCTGCAGCCTGAGGAAAGATGGCCTGAGGCGTGGCAATACGTAGGGGCAAGACTAAGGAGTGTAGTGGCCCCAGGCCCCCGCTTTGGAGAGGGCCAGGCTTTTGTTGGGATCCCAGCTCTGCTCCCCTGCTTCTGTGGGGCTCTGGGCCAGTGACTCGCCCTCTCTGTGCCTGTTTTCCCAGGTGACAGTGTTTGGGGGCAGTGAGTACTCAAATGCAGCTGCCACCAGAGAGCCAGGCACCCTCGGGCAAGTCACTGCTGGTGCCTGAGCCTCAGCGTTTCCATAAAAGGGTCCGACTAAGTCATAGCTAAGGACCATTTCCAGTCTGGTGGCTATGAGCATGAGTTAGCGAATTCCCGCCAGTCAAGGAAGAGAGCGGATATAATGAAGATACGAACAATAATACTTTCGGGACCAGCAGGTGGCGTCATGGTTACGTCGCTGGACTCCCATGTAGGCGACTGTGGTTTGAGTCAAGGATCTGGTGGCTTAAAACTTAACGATGGTTTCAAGTGTGTGCATGCCCCAAATCCCAAGAGGAGAGTGGAGAAGGGATTGCAGCATGGCCATACCCACCCCGGGGGTGGGGATTGAGGGGGTTGTGTGTGATTTCTCTATCTCTCTGTGTCTCTCTCTCTCTCTCTGGTGAGCACATGCACCCTATAGCAAAAATCTCTCTCTCCAAATAAATAAATATTAAATAAATAATAAATCAATAATAGTAATAGTTTCAACCATTGACTGAGTACCTACTCTGTGCCAGAGCTCAGCTAGGTGCCCGGCCCTCCTCATCCCATACCCACGATACCACCACAGCTTCTTGCAGGTCTCCTGGCTTCCAATCTTCTCCCCGTCCATCGATCTTGCATACCTGGCCAGTCTCAGCTTTCTTAAACTTTCCTTTATATCTCTGCTCCAGAGCATTCAATGGCTCCCCAGTCCTCCTCAAAATTAAGTGCCAGTTCCTTGATGCTGGAGTGGGGGCTTCCACACTCAGTCCCTGCCCTCTCTAATGGAACCTCCCGCAGACTAGGTTGCCATTTCGTCTGGACCCCTCCTCCCCCCGTGCCTCGTACTCAGCAGGTGTGCTCCATAAACATGCGTCGAATGAATGAACACAGGGACTGAACGGTTCTCTAAATCAGGCTACTCAAACATTAGTCATTTGCAAAGCAGCCACAAGAGTTTTGCAAAAATCTGTGCACCGTGTCTATTTTTATTTACTTAAATATTTTCCTTTTTTAGATTAAATAAATGCATCTCAAAAGGAAACTTTACATCATACTGTAACTAGAAGGCCAGTACTGCTTGCTAAAAATAGGCCCCCAGTAAAATAAATACCGGGCAAATGGGCAACGCCTTCAGTTCTCACCACATACCGTGTCTGCCAGGGTCGGAGGCCTCAGAGCCACCTCTCGGCTAAAATGAGACTAACCAGTGCTTTGGGACTGTGGCAAAGACTGACTGGCACCAACTAGGCTTGCCCGTGACAGTGACCACAGGCGGCTGCAAGATGACCATGCAAGAGCCTTCTCACCCCACGCTATCCCATCCCCGGCGACCACCCAATGGGCCGGCCTACATGTTGGCAATGCTGCTGAACGCCCAGGACCCTGTTTCCCAGGGTGCGCGTGTGCGTTTCCTGGAAACTTGAACTTGGCTCCTTGGAAGGGCGCAGAGGCCCTGCACGCAGCCGCTGCAGCGTCACAGATAGCTAGCTCCCTCCTCAGAGGCCGCACTGCACTGGAGGCAAGCTCAGAGCTCCACTCCGGGGAGAGCTGATGATGTGAAGCCATCGGCCTCACTGGGGGTATGCACACACAGGCTAGGTGGTCATGGGGGGAGGCCGGCGGGCAGGGAGCAGAACCCAGCTCCTGCAATCCAACCGCCAGGCAATCTGTCTAGGAAAGGGACCTGACAGCCCTTTACTTTCACGAGTTGATTAAACCAACGTAGGTCGATGAAAAGAAAGGGAGTAACTTCTAAACAGGAATACAGGGTACAAGAGACCATTCATGGGTAGTAACGTTATCCAGGACCCGTGAGGAAAGAAAAGGCAGGGGGTTCGTCATTATTCCGTCGCATAAGGAATGCTTTGTGATGCTCAATCCAATTCGGTGAGGACTATGTGTTATGCAGGGGCTTCCAAAAGTTCATGGAAAATGCGTATTATGAAAAAAAACATGCACTTTTTTTTGGGGGGGAGGGGCACCCAAATAAACTTGTAAATGAATTCCATTTTTTTCCCAATGACTTTTTAGGGCATTTTTTGGTATTTTATTTAAGCAAAAATAAACCAAACTCAAATTTGCCTAAGTGAAGAAAAAGGAGCCTAATAATGTGTAACTGACACTGCCTTCAGGTACAGCTGGATCCAGGGCCCAAAAACATCTTCCCCAAGACTCAGTTTGCTCTCCGTCTCTCAGTTCTGTCTTCTGGGTGGGCTTCGTTTTCAGGGAGGGCTGGCTTACGTCGTGGCAAGACCACCACCAGCAGCGCCCGGCTTAGGTACCCTAGCGGAGAACGAGCTTCTGTTTGATAAGTTTTAGCAGAAGTCCCAGGTAGTGTTTCCTATGTGAGCATATGTCCCATGTCCCCTCACTGAGGTCAGAGGGATGTGCTCTGATTGGCTATCTCCTGGGTCTCATGTCCACCCATAGAAGCCAGAGACCCCACCAAACCGTATAAATGTGAGTGAAGAGAAGCTCCCCGAATAAAAATTGAGCTGCTACCTCCTGAAGAGCTGGAATGCATGTCCGGCTAGCTGCGCTAACCTCCATTCTCGCCACCCTCATACCCGTGCTCAGAGCTGTGCTCACAGCTTGGTGCAGCCCTTACCCATCCTTTAGACTCCACTCACTGCTTCCCCCAGGAAGCCCTCCAGGCCTCTGAGCTGACCTGGGTCCTGATGTGTGTTCCTGACCGAACTCACCCTCTGGGCTCCTGAGATTTCCTGCCTGTCTCTCCCATCTGACAAGGACCGCCTGGGGCCAGCAGCGGCAGCCTGTCTTCTCCACTGTCCCCACAGCCTAGGACAGCGCCTGGCCCTAGAAGGGGCTCGGTGAATACTGATCTGAACTGTTAGTGGCTCGCAGGACCGGGCAACCAGCGAGGTGTGGGGGACGAGTTAGACAAGGAATACATGATTGCACGTTTGAGGGTGACGGGGTGGGGAAAGGGGCAGAAGTCAGGGTGACCCGTGAAGCACGTTGTCGGGGGACCCAGGACACACTGGGGGGGGGGAATAAGATGGAGTGGGAGATTCATGGGCAAATGCATTCGGGGGACAGAGGGAGGAGAGGACAAGAGGTCAGGGCTGGGAAGACTCCTGTCCACAGGCCTCGGGAAGCCCCGGGGCAGGCAGAGGCAGCATGGCCCCATTCCCGGAGCCTTTGTGGAGAGGTGGGAGGTCAGGACTTGGCAGGGGAAGGGAGGGAGTCCTCCAGGCTCCGGGCTGGGATTGGCTGCGAGGGAGGCTTCTCTGGCTCCTGGGGTGTTTTTCCAGGTTGTGTCTCCCTGTTAACTCATCTGTTTACCCACCTGTTTACACACAGAGCCGCTTGTGTCTACATGGCCAGCTCCCAGCAGTGGGCAGTGGGCAGAGTCCTTTGCGCACACGCACAACACGGGTGCCAGGACCCAGTGTGTCACAGGCAGGGGAGGCAGCCCTGGGAGGAGGCCAGAGGGAGCAGAGGTCTGACCCCCACCCTCGGAGGCCCAGACAGAGACTCAGAAAGGACAGAGCCACCTCAGCAGACTTGCCAGGCTGGAGAGGGAAAAGCTCAGAGGGAGACCCACGTGGTAAAGGACAGGGACAGTGGCCCAGAAGGACAGGCAGACAGGCTGAGGACCCCTCGCCCAGGCAGGGAAGAGGCTGTCAGACAGAAGGAGTAGGAGAGGAGAAGAGGAGGCAGGGAGCCAGACCAAGGAAGGAGGCTGGGGAAGCGGAGAGAGGGGAGCGAGAGAGACAGGGGGGGAGGGGGAAGGGGTAGGTAGGAGAGGGTGGCACAGGGAAATGGGAGGCGAAAGGGAGAGGGTAGGAGAGGGGGAGAGGGGGAGAGGAGGAAAAACGGGCCAGGGGAGTCTGCGGGCGGGGAAGGCAGGGATAGACACAGAGAAAGGAGGTAGGAGGAGAGGCCAAG